AGTACTGAGAGTTATTATTACAAATCATTACAAAAATATCACTTCAAAATTGATCCTTTATAAGCCAAATTGAAAAATTAAAACGTGTCGCTACCATCTCCCACACAAAGTAATACAATAAAGCATGAGGAACAGAAACCACCTAAAATTAATCTAAATTTACCAATAGCTTTATTTACTACCTCAAGGACCTGAAGGTTGTTCTTAGGCACATAGTCGGTTGGGAGGTCATTGCTACTGTAATCGTTGTGAATCCATTCTGGCACAGAGTCTCCTCTAAACAAACCTTGATCCTTCTCCAAACGTAGCCGCAAGTGTTCCTTTGTATTGTAATCAAGGCCAGCACCAACTTTTCCAACAATAGAGTATTTACCCTCTAGAACAGCGAATATTAATGATCATCCTTCAATTAGAGAATTCATTCAAAGTACCTCGCAAAACAGCTACTGTGTAACTTTGAATGTGACCATCGCCAGCACGATCAACTCCCACAACAGCAACATCAATTGTTTCACTACCTAAGTGAAATGGCTTCACCTTAAAATACGATGAAATAGGCGCACTAAAGAAAGTATAATTAGAGACTGTTTTGAAGCAGACGCACAATTCATTTGAAAATCCCCAAAAAATTTCCTTCATCTGACCACACTAGATTCGGCTTTGTCAACTTCAAACATAACACATTAAGCATTTTTACCTTAAAACAACCGTTCGCCATTGAACGAACACCAATCCTGTACAATGAATCCATTTTTTTAACCACAACACCCTCCTCATGAGCCTGCATAGCAATTTCAAAAAAATTCGCAAATTCCTCCCTGCAAATCCATTGCTGTCACCATAAAAAACCTGTTAAAGCAAATTGCTACCAAATTAAAACGAAAAATATACTAGAATAACAACATGAAAAAACACCTCGAATTAACAATTTGAAAATCCCCAATAAAAATAGCACTTTTATCCTGCTTTTGAAACACTGTATCTAGAAGTTTTAGGCGTTCATTCAGCGGTACGTCCAGAAGTGAGCGCCCGTTCAGAAAAATAATATCAAACACGGCCATGCATGGAATACAGCTCCCATCTTCGCGCAAATTCTTTACATCGTAAGCCCGACCATCTGAGGCACGGCGACCTTTTCCAACTAAAAAAATTTTTTCAAAGAACTTAATACTATCGGGCTTGCACACTCGGAAAGACAATAAAAAATTTACCAGAAGTACAATTCTGCTCTTGAAAAAAAGAAAAATTAATTTCCAAATACACAGAAAAAGCTATCTTAGCAAAGTAAAGTTCAGAATTTCAAATACAGTCACCACGTAAAATAAAAAATAAAATAATTAAATAAGGTTGGGAAAGCTGAAACATAATGAGCATTTTAGCATACTAACCGTGCTTATTATCAAAAACATCCCACAGTAGAAGTTCACCGTCGAATACACAGCTTTCCACAGATGGGTCAAAATAAGGATCTATGCGATGAAACAAAAGTGGTCCGATTTTTTCCGAATGATCAAGCTGATTTCGAGAAATTAAACGATACTCGCCACTTTTACGGTGGAGTAAAAAATGTTCACCATCAAACTTTACTTGTGTGTAAAAAGGTACTCCACAATATTTTACTAACTAAAAAACAGAAACGATGCAAAAACTTGATGTGGTTAAAAGCAACAAACGATATGGCATATAATGTCCCAAGATTGGTACATTATTTTGGAAGAAAAAATGAATGACAAAAAAATATATAAAATTACCAGAAGTTTCATATTTATTAAGCGTTCACCTTATCATACACATTTATTCCAGTACTTAGACCACCTTTTACTCTCGCTAGAAGCATTGGTTCAAAAGATTTGAACAGCAGACTTGATTCATCCCAAAGTTTATTTTCTGCAGCAAGTTCGCATATTTTTTTCAAAGAAGCCCCCGACTGTCGCATCTGACTTGCGTTGGGGTGAATACAATTCAAGATAGTTGAGGAGGATATACCAAGAACATTCTGAAAATCCAACATTTTTTAGTTATGAACTAAAATTATACAAAAAATTAGTTTTCTGTCTGGATCCTCATTAGTAAAACTTATGTCCTGAATTAAATAGAAGCTAACTTCAACTTTCCGTAAAAGAATTTGGAAGATCCAAAACAATTCACGCTCGGAGGCACATCCTTTCAATAAGTCGCGAAGTTCTTCCTCACCTTAATCGATATGGTAAAAAAGGGGAAAAGAAGAGAAGTTTATGCCGAGAAAACAGAACAAGTGCCCTCCACACTGTCGTCGCTAAAAAGTCCAGTTCAAAACCTACAGCAGAGATTTGGAGATTAAAGAATCTTTCCATTCCTAATTCATTTGATAATTCAAGAGATAAAGATGAGTAGAAGCAAACAAAAAATTAGCTGATAGAAGAAACCAGAAAATAATTGGTACAGTAAACACCTCAATCACTATAAAAATCAAGTGGAACTGAAACATCATTCAATGTAAAAAATAAAATAAAGTTTAGAAGAAAAGTAGGAAAGGTTGACCACAGCAGACAGTAATGTCAATTTCTTCTCCCTTACTCCTGCCTACAACCTTGACGTGTGACAGCAAGATTCCTTTTTGACTGGTTTTTCCTCATCTGCAATCTGAAGAAAGTGTTGGCAAAAAAAGCATTGTTTTGATATTGCCTGCCGTGACTGACCTCAGCCTGCATCAGTAACTAATGTTTCTAATTATCGATTTCAGCTTACTCAACTCATCGTGAGTCACTTTATCCAGAGATTCATTCAGCGAAAAAATTGTAAGTTCAGTTTTCGCAGCAGTGTTACGGGATGCAACTTCTGTCGATAACTTTTCCACAGCTTTCGTAGCATTCTAAAAATAACTTGCCAAACAGCTATTACTAGAAGTGTACATTATGACCAAAACTTAACAGTACCAGCTTCTTACCTTGGACGACACAAACAACAAAGACTTTTTTGTGGCTTCAGGGAGCATCAGTGTCTTGCAAATCTTCATAATCAACCTTTTCTGCAAATGTTACTGCCGCTTTAAACGGTATAATTTCGTAATACTAAACCGATTACAACTCTACAACACAAAAGCATTCTGAGCCATTCCCAATATAAAAATCAAATGACTTCGAGCAGTCAAGAAAAACCGCTTTCCTAATTACTGTGAGAGTTCTCAATCTGTCATGTCATAACGTAAAGTAACCATATAATTTAATAACGATTGTCTGGAAGCATTCAATATTAGAAAACCCTACTAACTCACCTCTTTCATCCGATACTTTCTCGAATCATGATGGTTCGCGAGAATTCTAACTAATGGAAAGTAGTTGGGAGTCAAATTTTCTCCAAACATTGATTTCCATCTGGCTAACACCTCCCGAAGCGCACGCTGCCGAAAAAACTTAGACTTTCCTACGTCCCTTGGCATGTGGCGAATACGGTCAAGACTTTCACACAAGGCGGAGAACTTAAAAACTTTTGCAACTTCTTCAGCACTAGCTGCCATTCGAATAGAGGGCTGAACAGAAATCCAGTTATTTCTAAAATTTATTTGTCAGCAACGTAAACCAACATGGACAACAATAATAGTGCGAAAGTAATTACACAAAACGAATTCCTGAAAAACGAATACACGATGCATTAAAAGCTAACGCAATTATTCTCAAGGGTAACTTAAAAATACAATATAAATGCACATTTCTAACTGTATAACGATAAACCGGGAAAATTTAATAAGCATGTTTCCGTAAGAATAGGTCAAGGTAATGCAAAAAGAGTAAAGTAAAAAATTTTTCTGTAATTTCTAACCTAAAAAAGAAAATTCGCAAAACGATCACAGGCTATTAATTAACTCTTCAAAAATGAAAAAAAAAATCCAATAGATATTTAAAGCCACCATCGTCAGCAGAAAATAAATTTCAATTTTACTAGTGATTCGGGCAAAAGACTGCAACTGCATTTGCACCAAGCTTCAACTGATGTTAAAATACAATTATGCTAAAATATAAAAAGAGAAAAACAAAACAAAGCAGTAATTATCACACCAAAAATAAAGTATGGTCTGGAGCCACCGATAAATCACAAGCTGGTCGTGGAAGAACCACTTGGCATGGAAAGTACTGGTCCTTTTCACTGCCTATACCTAGGTGTGAAAACCGATTAATTCCCCAAGCATATAGGTTACGGTGTTTCGATAAAGCGAACATCGAAGTATTGCCGGCGAAAATTTGTTTAACTTTCCCAGAGTCGTCTGTGCCACTGGAAAATACATTCGGATGTATCAGAACAGGTCTTTTCAGAACACTTATATCGGGGCCCTGACCGACTACTCCAAAACCCCAGACATAAACTTCTCCTTCCGAATTCAGTATCAGAGACGAAGTGGCCGTCGTGTCAGCCGCGGAAATTTTTCCCAGGCGTAACCGTATTTCTACAGGATGTAAAACCTGTATCTGATTTGAAAACGGTGACATTTGTTCATATTCATTCTGCCCCCACATAAAAAGATCGCCGGAGGTGGTGATAGCACACAAAGTATCTGTACTGCCTTTTATTGAAGTAACCTGAACACCTTTCAAATCACCTTCAACAGGTAAACAGTGCCAATCCCTTGGTCCTCCATTTCTACCCAACTGTCCATCAGTACCCAGTCCAAAAGAGAACAACTCGCCAGATTCCAACAATACAAATGAAGTATCTAATGTACAATGAACCTGCTTAACAGATGCTTGAGATGGAATTTGGACACTACTATCGGAAGTGTCAGAGGGAATTATAAATGGACATTTTTCAGGATCCTTCCCGCACTGTCCGTGTGCATTATCACCAAATGCATAAACTTTCTTTTCTGTGGCTACTAAGAAGTGCCTTCTGCCTGCGGCAATGTCAACAATATTCCCCGAAAAACCAGGAATTACTAAACGTTTGCCATTCCGCCAGTAGCCTGCAGAATGCAGGTCATTGCTGAATATTTCTACACCACCGCCGTAAACTCTGTCGCTAGATGCAAATACAGAGAATCCAAAACCCGCAGCTACTCTTCGGATACCTTTTGACATGAAATAAATTATATGTGTTGGTTTCCGAAATTGGAACAAACCGCCAACCGATCGCAGTTTTGAATTTGAAAACATGCTGCCAGTATTAACGAGACCAGACCCATAAACATGCTTCTTGGCTACAGTACTTGACTTATAACGTAAAAATGAAAGCATGCAAAATTTCTTCAACCAGCCACTTTTAACGTTGCTCATTACTCTGAAAAAAATTTTTTAACTGCATAATGAACCAAAACGTAAGAATTTAAAAACAGAAGTTTAAATGTAGTAAATAAAAACTCGTTTACAATAACTGCCACATTCTCGTAACAGCAGAGTTAACATTAAAAAACTTTAGCAAGTATCTGTTAGTAGTCAACTAGCACTATTTATGAAGCCTTACAAGAAAATAAAACCGAAAATTCAGAAAGCACTACTTACCTTCACAATCGTAAAATTTTTGATTTTATTCAGCAGCTCGTTCCTGAATGGAAAACCCTAAAGTATTTTGAACACCATTAACATCTCAACGACCTATGACCACATGAATTTTGGTTGAATAGAGGGAATAGAATAACTAAAACCAGTTTGATAAAACGTAAAACAGAGAAACCTTCTGAGACAAACCATCCTACACAATTGCTATTTCACCAAATCTAGAGGTACCTTTCATGTCTACTCCCTCTAATCCTTCGAAAACACCTAAATGAGAATTCCAGTAAATTTCATCAATAGTAAAATTTATTGTAATGTTTTTGAAAAAAGGTGCGGCGCAGTACATAAAAGTACAACATAGGTCCAATGTAAAAGCAACTTCTTCCTTACTCTTTCAAAAAATGCACCACGTCATTTGTGGTTTGGTGAATACGACCTCCAGGCCATGTCTCAGTTTTTCAGAAGAATATTTTTCCTCAGCGGATTTCCGCCAATATTTTTACCCACCTGTGCTCCCCTGAAGGCACTCGCAATTTTCAAGCACATATTTTTCCGAATAATTTCTCTAAAAATCCCGAAATCCTGCATTAAGTTTTGAATGCATATTAGGCGGTAGATGAGGTTTTCAAAAACTACCTCCACACTGTTCCCGTTTTCAAATTAACACGATTTTGTAAAATCATAGTTCATCTCTCAGCAAGGTTACTGTTGCCAAGTAGTTTTCTAAAAGCGATATCTTTCGTCACCGTCATTAGCACTACGAGAAGACGCTCGCTCTATCAAGCAAAATGAAGCACGTTGCATAAAAACGACTGCCAAGGTTCTTAGCACATGGGCAGGCTTCTTAGCATATATGCAAGTCAACATCAAACTGAAAACTTTGAGCTTGAATGCCTTTGGTGCCCATCAAGTTGGTAATGACCGTTAGAGGTTAACTTTGCTCAACAGCACGAAGTGCTCGTGAAATTCCGCTATCCAGAAAAGCAGACCGCTTTAAAGCGCACAAAAGCGAAGCTTCTTCTGAACATTAATTACAATAATACTTTTCACAGTAAAAAATGCTCTGTAGAAAGTAACATTGTGAAGTTGTTGTGTTCCTTGCGAAAAGAGCTGTGTTAAGTAGAAGCGAGTTGCACCATGCTGCTGTTCGCCCAAAAAAGTTTTAATTCTTTCTACCTCACTTGGCAAACATAACTGTTTTTTTCTTTCGCCAAAAGTTTTGGACATCAGATTTCAAATCCTGCTGTTTTGTACCAAATAATAATCTGTATGCTGAAGTTCTTGTCCATGACCGGTGAACAATAAGATTCATTTGCTTCACCAAAGGATGCGTCTTTCTCAAACAAACACAGCAATTAATGCAGAGTTATTCGCTACGGGTTCTGGAAACCTTTAACCTATGCAATGCAGAGAAATTCAACTGCATAGAAAACCCTGACAAACACAGCGACTAAAACCTTGGAGATAGATAAACTGCATCGGCAAAAGCCTCCAATGTACCCTAATTACCAAAATATCACAGAAAATCCGTTTTCCTACCTAAAAGAAACGAGAACCACTACAGGCAAAATTAAATGATTCACCCACCTGGGATATCTGCTGAAACAATCTAAGTTCCATGCAAAGTCTGGCTGCCCATCAACGCCGATAAAAAATAAAATGGTTCTAAATTGCCCTACCAAAAACAGCAAATGAAAAAGCGTAAAGAACAATAAGAGGCCAAATAGAGATAATTAATCTGGTGAGTGTCGACAGTTATCATTAAATAATATAAATATCACTTTTTTAATTGGTACCAAAATTACTTCGTTGTCAAAATTCCATATACGAATGTTTTGTAGTTTTCCTGTCCTTCACACCAAAGGCTAAGAACCAGGCCCCATTTCCAAGCATCAGTTCAATGTAGTGCTAATTCCAGGCGAGAAAAAAAGGATAATTCTCACAAAACTAAGGTATTTTGCGATTAGAAATGGTGGGTAACAAAGAAAAGAAATTCTTTCAAGTATTGTAGGATTGGCAAAAATGCAAGTGCTTAAAATTTATATAAAAAACTTAATAATCGAAAGGTTAAAGAAAAAAAAAAACTAGCGGCAAAAACGGCAAAAATTAAGGCAAATTCATCCTAATTATTCGCGGCAGTCAGCGTTTTTTTTTTTTTAGAAATTATTATATGATCCGTTACTCATCATTTATTACACAACACCAGTTGTGCTATAACGACCACCGCGATATAAAACAGGGAAATATTTAATCAAACTCTAAAAAACTGAAACAGCACTAACGCCTCAACTCCTAGAAAGTCACTAATTTGCTTATACCAGATAATCCACGGCTTCAACTGCAGAAGAAACAAATTTTTTTTTTGAAAAGCCCAGACAATTCCAATTTTTAGCTGCAGTAGAAGGCAAAATTCACCGTCACAAAGTTCGCCAGCACATAGGTTCTGTGCAGAATTTTGAGCAGCCGGTTGTCCCCCGAATGTATGACGAACTTTGTCGGCCAACTGACTACAGTCAGGCTAACATGCAATTCAGTCGCATTTGGCAGTTACTGGTTATGTTGGAAAGTGATGTACCGTTGTTTCTGGAACGAACACCGCGTGATTTCTGCACAAAAAGTTTGATAATTAAACTCCTTCCTTACCCACGGGTTTTAGCCTGACAGATAGCCTGTTATTTCATTAAGGATACTTAAAGTAATTGTCTATATTGCGTTAAAAATTGGGACTTTTGCATTCTGCTTCAGTCTTGTGATATCCACCCACAGTATCTACAGACTAATGAGGCGTTCCTCTACCGTCCATTTAATTTGAAACTTATGTAGTTGAAACGTAATAAAATCTTTATTCCAGATTGAATGTTCTTAACGCGATATTTGGCAAGAGCAAGGCTTGATCATCGACCACTGTATAGACGTATTTTTACGAACCAACGACTGGATTTGATTTTTCTAGGTGCGTAGTTTTAATTTAGACCGATGTTTTTCATCGTTTTTTTGCCCCTCACTCTCTTTTGAGTTAGAAGTTCTGTTATGGCTCCTACCGGACTGTTTCAATATTCCAGCGTGTTTTGCTCCACAATTGTCTGTGATATTTCGTGCCTATATTTATGTTTATACCACTATTGAGGGCAAATGCCTTTTTTAACCTTTTTTTTTTACAGTTCAAACCAGTCTTACCCTTTAATTAATGAGCTCTAAGGTTTGAATGCCAACACCAAAAACGCTGCGAAGCTTCCTATTGTTTGTATTGAGAAACACGAGCTCACATTCTTGTAAAATAGTCATTTAATCACCATACTATATGACATATTTTGTAGAATAGCCGTAACAGAGAAGAGCTTAATGGATTACTTGTAGTTATTTTGAATTCAGAGCTTATGCACGTACACTTTCATTGATTTCAAAACTTTTTAAGTAACCGTACGGTCCCTGATTGGCTTTAGTTTATCCTTGACGTCGTTTATTATCACTGATCTGATTATATATTCTGTTTACACTCATCCGGAAAAGAAGAGGTTGCAAAGTATAATTGAAAAAAAGCTTATTGAAGCTGACAGTGCTGGTTTCTCGTGACCTCGGTTTGTTTTTTTACTTGTTCTTCAATTATTTTTTGCTGATTGCTTCATGCTTATTTAATGTAATGTCAAAAGCAGTTATTTGTGCTTCATCTTTCTAGATTTTGTGCCGTTAATAACATAACGTTTCTATCTGTTAAATGCAGTTTGTACGAAAAACGTTAAGTTTCATAGCCAGTCGGTATGAACTTATATTCCTCGTCAGCTTTTGCAGTGGTGCCGCTCTGGAATTAGTAAAAGTCTGTTAATCTGAATTTGTTTCTGATATTGTTTACTTTCTTAAAGGTACTCTTTTTTTAACGGAGTTTCTTGCTGCAGAGAAAAGCAAGAACGCATGGTTAGTTGCTAATTAAATTTTTCGTTACAGATTCATTGGTATGTGGATGGCACTAATTTTTACTCTGTATTTATCGAAAATAAACTTCAAAGAGAACTTGAAGCTTACGAAAGAAAGTTGATGCAGTTTGATAATATGGCTAAAGAAGAACAATTGAAAGGTTCGAAAGAAGAAATACAGAGGGGAACTTAGTGAACGTCAATGTTCTTCCGTGCATTTTAGCATCGGAATTCCTTAGAAATTAGGTTCTAAATTTGTTGTAGTTGGTTAACTGTTAGTGTAGTAAACTTTGTTACCTCGCTTTATTGCGTAGTTTATAACAGTTCAACTTTCCTTTTTTTTCGTTCTAATTTATATATTCGATTTTGTAACTTTTAATAAAAGATTCTGTCTTGATTCTAAGGCATTATTCTTTTCTTTTATATCACCTGCATGATTGGTACAATATTGTATTACACATTTTTTTCAGAATATATTCTTTTGTGCTCTTCGTGGTTGGAGAACTTCTTTTCATCTGTTTTTCTGAAGACTTGACAGTAGTAAATGGTTGATGAGATAGGTTGTTTTTATAGTTGTTTTATCTTTGCTGGGACAAATCGATCATTTATTTTATGAGTACTTCATTTTCATTATAAGGATCGGTGAAAGATATAAGTTAATCGTTCTTCTTTATTGTTGGCTGAGAAATTGGTCAAAAGGGAAATTGAGGGCAGGTAGTGAAGAGCGATGACAACAATATTCTTTCTAATTGTGAAGAGGAGACTTAGGCTTTTTAACGCTGTATTAGACAGGAAACATTTTCGTGGGGGACTAGTTTAAAAGTTGGTCTCAGCGTTGTTATTTGCTGTGTAGACGGAATAGGTATATGTAATAAACTAAACAGTTCCTTTAAAGAAGCTTTGTCTTATGGATTGAACATGAAGTGCGTTTTGTGATAGTTTTGAAAGCGACAATATCGCATCCAAACGCAGAGTTATAAATACTTTGGTTTGAAAGAAGGGCAGCGGGAAACTCATTTGAGCGTAAGACATGGTATTTCAACAAATAATGTTATGAAAAAACTAGGTGAACTGAGAGTATTTTAGGATTTTGGTATTATACGTTTTTCGGTTACAAGTGCAAGCTAGAGAGGGCCTACCACGTATGAGATATCAGTTTCACCTATTTTTTTCATTTATTTCGTGAAGTCTTCTATCAAGAAAATTCTATAAACCTAACAGGTTCAAGACGAACCTGCAGACACTACGTTATTTAGAATGTTACAGCCTGCTATCACTTTTGTATTATTGACGTTCCCTCTTGTGAATTTAACGATTCGTTGGATGAAGCCCCATTCAGTCGTAGTGAATCGTTTGGGCCCAGGGCATCGGTTGAAGCAATCGCTTCTGGAGGCCTCTGAAAATGGTCAGGGAAAGATTCTGCGTATTTTGAAGCTGGTCTCAGTTGAGATGGCGGTCTATAGGGTAATGGAGCGCGAGTAGCTGTGTTTGACGCATAGTATGGGGATGGCGGTGGTTTTGGAGGCTGTGTTCCGTAAAATGGTGCTGGAGATCTTATGGTAACGTTTCCTGATGGTGATGTTGGACCTTTCTGTGTACGCTGGAAATCCTTCACTTCGTTGGGAGTGAAGCGGCTCCGTAAATCGTTGCTTGATCTTCGCTCTGGAGGTTTTGGCGGCGCATTCATCGGTGGTTTTCGAGTACTGTTAAGTTCATCCAAGATGGCATCTAGCATATGCGTTTCCTCATACTTTTCGCTAGTTGACGGCTTTTCATAGTTGTGAGGTGATGGAGGAACAGGAGGAGGGACATTTAATGAGTTCGCTTCTTTTAGAGGACGCCCCATTGGAGGTGCTGAAGCCCTTGCTTTAAGATTTTGTCCTACAAGTACTAGACCGGATGATGGCATTGCCGGAACGCTTACTGATTCTGTCTTAAGATGAGCATTTGGTGCCTCTCTGGTTGTGGCGAGGGTGCCTAAATTTACCATATATGTATCAACTGAATTTGAAATAGGTATTTCTCTGCGTTCTTCTTGGTAATAGGTTTCAGATTTTCTGAGTAGTAAATTTATTTTCAGAATTTACCATTTTCACTTTTTGTACTCATTCGATCAGAATTTCTTTCTATTCGATACGGGGCACTAACTGCAGGGTCTTGGACCATAGCTAGCTTCTTCATGGTTACCATCATATTTGCTAACGTCTTGCAACGCCGCAAGCATTGATCTATTTGTGCAGATTCTTCTTTAATGAACTTTTCTTCCCGAACCACTCTTTCCATGTCGCCTTTTATTTTTTTTTCTAATTCGTTTTGAATAGATGGAAACTGAGCTAAAGAAGTAAAATATTAAGCTGTAAAACCGTTGCCTCTTGTTCGCATAAATTTCTGTTCATTAGATTAAAACGGATACAGTACTTAAAAATAACAACTAATTGGATATTTGTGAGCTTTCTAGCCGTAGCTTTAGAATGAATGAATGTGAAAGGAATTCAGAACAGTGATGCAAAGCAACTAAAAAGAATGTCAAAAAAGGTTTATTTACTTTTTAGTCGAGCTGCGTTTCTCCCGATTTTGGTCAAGGAATTTGTGAAATGTTCCACTTCACTCATGCGAAGCTTCCTATTTGTATTTAGCACCAATTTCCTGACATCTTCAACATCCTCTTCGAACGACCTGCAGGGTGATTTTTTGATTTTGTTTACTCGCTCGTTCAAGTCGATGAATGAGGAAGAAGTATTGCGGTATGTCATTAGGAGAGTGTATTGTTACTTTAAATACTTGCGCAGAAATTAGGTACTTGAACAAACTGGCGGTTTTCGTAAATTTTAAAATAATTAAAATTGCATCACTTTTTATCTGAATGCACTTTTGCTTGAATTTTATCTTACTTACTGAAGAGACTTTTGGAGCTGTGTTATTTGAGCAATGTGCTCTGATTTGAGATTTTCCATATGATCGGCTTTTAGTGTTGTAGTATCGATGCCTGATTGCCTGCTGATATGCTTTTGGATTTGGTCGAATGCATCACGGAGTAAATCACGTCCGTTTTGTACATTCACCTGAATGTTTAGGGCATTTTTGGTTAACAGATCTTAATAGTAAGAACTGTAGCTTGGTTGCCTCTTGGTAATAGAAACATTTCTTATAGTATATCGGGGTCAGAATTTTATTTGAAGTTAGTTTTCTTTCAAATTAATGTTATTTGAGTCTTTCAGCGGTTTTACTTTTTAAATTTAGCGCGTGTAGAAAGGAATTAATGATGACTCACTTGGACTGCACGTCGAACTTGTTTCAGCTGGTTCTGTATTTCAGTTGCTTGTTGCTTTAACCTTAAAAGATGTTGTTGTGCTTCCCCATTTAAGGAATAAGTGTCGGGCAAAGACGGTTCTGTGCTGCTTGGTACGCTGCTTCCTGGACGTGCTAAAAGGTTACTTAGATATGTTGATGAACGTCATGAGTTAGGAAGAAAATATGAGGTTTTATTTATGAAACTGGTAGTTTTTTTCATCTTAGGATTTCATGTTGTTTGGTATTGCACAAGAAATAGTTTGGAAATTCAGTTATCAAGGTTTTGTAAAAACCAGAACCGTCGGAGTGAAGTGCAAGAATCTGTCTTCTCAGTTCTTGCATGTCACGTTGACTGCTTTCACTCATTCCTTTGCTAACCAAGGCTGAGTGAACTAGTGAAGATAAGCCTGCCAACTGTCGCTCCATAGTTTCCATTCGAAATCTTAAATACTTGGAGCTTACTTTATTTTTTAGGAAAAAAATTGTGGTTACGGTATTAGTCTAATTCGATGAATTACGTTGAGGAAAGCCTTAAAATGAGAAAGGTCTTTTTTGAGCTTGTATAGCATGAAGCAGTTGTTGGAAAACAATTTTTTGAAATTGAATATTAGTACTTTAATCTAAAAAAGTAAGTAAAAGCATGTTTCTGAATGAAAAAAGCTGGCTACGTTACTGTGTATGGTGTATAATTACGGTAAATAAGCCTCTAAATAATTCATTATTTAAGGGAAAAATGGAACAGCGATAGATAATTATAGGGGTTGAATAGTATTAAGCTACTTTTGGATGGCTCAGCTAGACAAGTTTCCCGGCAGAGTTTTAGTTCCTTTCCAGCCAAAATTTATTTAGTATGAGTAAGAGGACCATGAAAATAACACAAAGGAGGATGCAGAAATCAAAGTAAGGTAGCTGTTTACGAGGAAGAAAAATATGCCGCTAAACTGTTAGGAATTTTTTTATTTAAATTTTTTTCTCAAATATCTTTATCTCAAAAAAAAGAAAAGTGTTATCTCTTTACTGTGAAGGAAATTTTTCACCTGTGAAGCAGAAAGGCATTATGTTATCAAACTTATCAATTTTTATTGCAAGTCTATATTTATCTCTTTTTTTTGCAGTATTCTAGTACAAAATTCTTCTAAGAGTTATTTTATCATTTGAA